TAAATATATTTTTATTGATTTCAGAGAGGAAGGAAGAGGGAGAGAGAGATAGAAACATCAATGATGAGAGAGAATCATTGATCAGCTGCCTCCTGCATGCCTCACAATGGGGATCAAGCCAGCAATCCAGGCATATGCCTGACCAGGAATCCAACCATGACCTTCTGGTTCATAGGTCAATGCTCAACCACTGAGCCATGCTGGCCAGGCTGAGATATTTTCTTGTTAGCACATAGAGGTCCAACTTATTACTTCTTATAGGTGCATCCTTGTTCATTTATGAGTATACTATGAGTAACTTAGTCCCATAATAATGGACTAGAGGCCTGGTGTACACAATTCATACACCGGGGTGTGGGGGGGTCCCTTAGCCTGTCCTGCACCCTCTCCAATCCGGGACCCCTTGGACATCCCTCTCGCAATCCAGGATTGCTGGCTCCTAACTTCTCACCTGCCTGTCTGCCTGATCACCCCTAACCACTCTGGCTGCCTTCCTGATTGTCTCTAACCACTATGCATGCCTGCCTGATGCCCCTAACTGCTCCCCTGCCTGCCTGATCGCCCCTAACCGCCTCTGCCTACCTGCTTGAATGCTCCTAACCACCTCTGCCTGCCTGCCTGATCTCCCCTAACTGTTCCTCTGCTGGCCTGATCGCCCCCTAACTGCTCCCCTGCCAGCCAGGCCCCCTAACTGCTCCCCTGCTGGCCTGATTGCCCCCAACTGCTCCCCTGCCAGCCTGATCACCCCTAATTGCTCCACTGCCTGCCTGATTGCCCCTAACCACTTCTGTCTCAGCCTCCACCACCCTAGCTTTGTCTGGAATGACGTCTGGAAGATCGTTTGGCTGTCCGGTCTAATTAGCATATTATGTTTTTATTAGTATAGACATTGCAGTTATTTCCATTTCAAAGAATAGTCATCTATCTTATAAGAATTATATTTTTTTCTGTGCCCTGCATTTTTACTTAAGTCTATATTATAGGTTGCCCCTCCCCATCTTGCTAAAACCCCATAAGAAAAATGATCATGACTAGCCTAGTATATTCCTATCGAATGGATGTATGTTGTACCTCTGGCCCAAATGAAAGAAAACTGTTCAGATTAAAGATAATTCCCCCTTACTTCTAACCCAGGGACATCATAGATGTTCAGTTCAAACTGAGGATGAGTCACACTCTGACACTCCTGAAGTTTTAATTCTGTTTTGTTTTGTTTGTTGCTGTGTTTTTTCTAACTCCTATAGTCTAATTAAATCATCTGTCTATAAAACGTTTGTGAGAAGTTCAAGTCCCTGCATCATTTGAGTAGCTGGTGGGGCCCAAGAGTATCCTGGGAAATCTAATCCACCCAGGCAGTGCGCAGGCTCGGGGAAGAGCTGAGTTCTTATGTACTTTATTTGACCTTGACATAACTTTCATATCAAAGCCTCCCATCCGGGGAGCACTCACTTGGATACCTATGCTTATTTGAAAACACTGATGGTAACATAATAATATCTCTCATTACAATTGTTTTTCTCAGGATTTGATCATATCATACGATAACTCAATACATCACACTTGCAGGGTTATAAACCAAAACAGGAAGAAAAGGAAAAAAAGAAATATAGCCATTACTCAGACTTAGATCACTATCCCTTGATGTCTTTTTTAACCCGGCCATTCCATGGTCAATAGTTCCTTTGTTGAACTCTCCTCAATCACTCCATTCCTGCCAGAATCTTCTAAGATATGGTTAGAATACCTGTTCCTTACCTAAGTGTCAAACGTGGTTCCAGCATGCCATTGTTACACAGCCATGTACTGGTAAAACGTATGTCAATGAATAGCATACGGCTGTCCCAGACATGCCATTCTTACCCAGACAGCTACAGGTAAAAAGTACGTCAATGAATAGCTTATGGCTGCCCCAAGGATCGCTCCTTATCTGTGAAACTGAGAATAATACCTATTCACTTAGATTAGTTACTCAACATGACCCCGCTGGGAAGCTGCACATCTGGGAGACTTCACACCTCCTCTTTTCTTCTGCAACATCTGGAGGAGTTTTCCTGATTGCTAAGGCAAGCAGGAGCTTCTCCACGGTTTTGTCAGGGCATGCGGCACATATAATTGGCTTTAATACAAACTATAATAAACAGAG